CTGTGTATCTCTGACTTGTCCTGAAACTCCCTCTGTAGACCAGGTTGACCTCAAACTCACAGAGATCCACCTGCCTCTGCCTCCCGAGTGCTGGGATTAAAGGTGTATGCCACCACTATCTGATGATTTTATTTTTTAAAGTCATGGATACTTGGAGGAAATACTAAGTCCCTCCTATACCATCTTCAAGAGTCCTTACTCCATGCATCATCCATAGGCAATACTTAGTACAAAAATAGGGCATATTTTTAGAGTTAGCATAATGTGTGTATGTGTGTATGTATGTATGTATACACACACTCACACGCATACACGCATGCACACACACTATATGGTGTCATGTAGTCCAGGCTAACCTGGAATCTGCTGTGTGAAGACGACCGTCAACCCATCCTCCTACCTCCACCTCCCCGTGTTGAGGTTGCAGATGTCTGCTGCCTCACACAGCTAAAAAACGATGTATTTCTGGGGCCACAGAGAGGGCTCCGTGGTTAAATGCACCTCTTGCTCTTGCGGAGGACCTGGATTCAATTCTCAGCACCCACATCAAGCAACTCACAATTGCTTGCACCTGCATGCCCTGATATGGTCTCTGCAGGTGCCCGCCCCCTCATGTGTAGACATGCACTCACAATCTTAAACGTCTTGCTATGACTAATGTGTCTGTACTGCGCTCATGTCTGCCCCTCCCCCACCTCCCTTCACCTCGCTCGTTAGTTCCTATGGTCCTATAAACACTTCCCTTCTGCTTTTATGCCATATGCTCAGAGAAACACATCTGGTTTCTGCACTTGGGAAAAGGTGCACTCGAGGGTTTAAAGAATTGCCTTTTCCAGCGGGTGGAAGCGGTCGCCATGGAAGCCCGACAGCCTCACTTTACTCCCTGGTTTCCACGAGGTGGAAGGAGAGAACTGACTGCTCAAAGGTGTCCCTGGACCTCCAAAGGTGTGCTGCACATACCTGTGCCTGTGCCCACACCCTCCATTTACACACCTGTCATCCACTAGCACCATCACCTCCTGTTCATAGATGACTTGTCATCAACAGGAACCGCGTATCTCCCATCCACCCCTCTGTCACCCTCTCCCGATCACTGAGGGTCCAGCCCAGGGCCTTGTGCACACGCAGCGAGCAGTCTGCCACTGAGCTAGACCCCCGGCTCCAGTTTGTCTCCATCAACTGTGTCTTTATCTGGGATTCTCTCCCACTCTCTCCTTTCCTCACCCCCTTCTCCCTCTTTCTCCCCACTGTATCTCTCTTCCTCTCTTTCTCTCTTTCTCCCCGCTTTTCCCTTCCCCATCCCAACCTGGCCTCAAACTTGCTACACAGCCGAGAATAAGCTTGAACTTGTAATCATCCTGCCTGCCCCTCAGGATCACAAGCGTATGCCACTCTGATGGGTTACAAGTGCCGCTGGGGCTCAGATCCAGAGCTTCAAGCATGCTAGGCAAGTACTCTATCAACTAAGCCGCAGGCTTGGCCCCATCTGTTTCTTTGGACAGCAGCCGCACATCTCCCTGCATGGACACAAGGGTTCCAGTTCATTCTTGGTGGATGCAGTTTGTTTCTGGATCCCTCCTGGTCACCAATACCCCTGCAGGAATCTATGCCCATGAAAGAGGTGTTTGCGTGCATATGTGTGTGTGTGTGTGGTGTATGCACGTGTGTGTGTATGCACTCAAGTATGTGTGAGCATGCGCATTTGCTCGATTCCGACGGCTACAGCTGTTTCACTCCTGAGACATGAGACTAACTTACAGTGCTCTTTAGCAAGTGGTGCACACGGTGGCTGCTGACCCCCACACCCCCCACCTTCTCCAGTCAAGGCACTGTCATGGTGGATGCCTGAATCTAGGAGGGGGAATTTATTTATTTATTTTTTATTTTTTTTTGGTTTTTCGAGACAGGGTTTCTCTGTAGCTTTGGTGCCCGTCCCGGAACTAGCTCTTGTAGACCAGGCTGGCCTCGAACTCCCAGAGATCCGCCTGCCTCTGCCTCCCGAGTGCTGGGATTAAAGGCGTGCGCCACCACCGCCCGGCTAGGAGGGGGAATTTAATATCCACCAGCTTGGATCACTGTAGATGTCACTTCCCTTAGATGGAGAAGGTAGACCCAGTGATGGAGGAAGGTCATTGGCTAATAAAGGAACTGCCTTGGCCCATTTTATTGGTTAGAAGATAGGTGGGAGGGGTAAACAGAACAGAACGCTGGGAGGAAGAGGAAGTGAGCTCAGACTCAACAGCTCTCCTCTCGGGAGCAAACGCCTCAGAGAGACGCCATGCTCCTGGCTCCTGGGCAGATGCACGCCATGAAGCTCTGACCCAGGATGGACTAGGCTAGAATCTTCCCGGTAAGACCGGTTCTCACAGATTATTAGAGATGGGTTGATCGGGATATCAGAATTAGCCAGTAAGGGCTAGAGCTAAAGGGCCAAGCAGTGTTTAAATGAATACAGTTTGTGTGTTGTTATTTCGGGCATAAGCCGAGCAGGCGGCCGGGGTGCTGGGAACGCAGCCCCGCCGCCCCTATTACTACAACCCAGAGAATCAAGGGACTGATCAGGGGCTTCTGAGGTGGCACAGTAAGTCTAGCCTTGACCAACAGTTTCCACTGTACTCTAAAGACCTGGCTGGGGCCAGCGAGGTGGCTCAGTAGGCAAAGGTGCCTATCTCCAAACGGGACAACCACAGTTCCATCCCCAGGACTCACGCGGTGGAAAGAGAGAGCCCTTGCTCACAAGTGCTCCTCTTGATTTCATTTCTTTTCCTCCCCCTGCCCCCCCCCCGACAGGATTTTTCTATGTAGCCTTGGCTGTTCTGAAATTTGCTCTCTGACCTTGAACTCAGATCTGCCCACCTCCCTAGTGCCAGCGTTAAAGTCACGTGCCACCACCACCCTGGCTAGTCCTCTCACTTTCTCATGCGCCTGTCATCCCTGCCCCACAAAACAAAAACCAAAGATGTTAGAAAAAAAGTCCTGGCCCAGCCCTGCTCAGAGAGGTCGTCTATCCTCACGTGATGGAATATCCCGCCCAAAGGAGTGGAGATACAACTTACAGCATGGGTCAGCTTTGCTAAGGACAGACAACCCCAAAGGGCTGTGACTTCCCCATCACAGAATCAGAAATTAGCAGACACCTTGGGACAGACCGTGTCTTAATCAGTATTTTACAAGGGTAACGGGAAAGCCGTTGGGTGCTACTGAGATTTCCACGAATAATGTAGGCCCCTGGCTCTCCAACCCTGGTCAGGGAGATTTGCCCCCTCAACATCTAGTGAAAATTCTGGTTGCTGCCCCTGGAGCGGGTGAGTCTTCCTGGCATGTGGTGTGTTGAAGACAGGCATGCTTTCCTGCATCCTGCAGTGTACAGGAAGTCCCTCAACACAGAAGTAGGCAGCCCCAATGTCAGGAAATGTACCAGGAATGAAAGAGAGCCGTCCTCTCCTCCAGCTCCCTCGTTCTGAGACATGGTGCTCTACTGCCATCTGGTGTTCACTGAGAGAACATCAAGCGCTCAAGAGAATTAACAGGAACCTGAAACTTGTCAAGGGCGTTAGCGGAGGCACACACCGCAACTAAGGGTTCCCAGCCCTTAGGGAGGAGGAGGCAGAGGCAGGCGGATCTCTGTCAGTTCCAGGACAGACTCCAAAACTACAGCGTAACCCTTTCTTGAAAGAACAAAAATACAAAACAAAACCAAATAAGGATTCCCCACCTTGAGTCAGCCAAGACAAACTGAAATGTTGAAGGTTCACAGCTGATAAATATTCATACTTGAGTAAGCCCCAAATGCTGTTTGTGAGGGTGGTTTTCGTTTCCATAAACTTGGGGGCTTTCCTGCTGGACCCTCGCCGCTCTCCACAGACAGGTGTGGGAGGAGCTCGAGTGCTGGACTCCTTGGTCCTGTTGACCTTCCGTTGCGTTTACATGTGTAGGCATTTTACCTCCGTGCATGTCTTGCACATGTACATGCCTGGTGCCCCTGCTTTGAAGATGTGGGGGATGTCAGAGGACAACCTCAGGCGTCACTCCTCAGGTGCTGTCCACCTTTCTGTATCTTGTTCTGGAATTCTGAGGTTGGGCCGGCCAGCCAGTCAGTGCCAGGGATCCTCTGTCCCCTCCATGTGAGGGTTAGTGTCACCAACTGAAGTTCCGGTTGTATAAGAAAGCCAATTGAGCAAGCCACAAGGAACAAGCCAGTAAGAGCGTTCCTCCACGGCCGCGGCTCCAGTTCCTGCCCCGATTTTTCTAAGTTGTGGACTCTGACATGGAAATGTTAGTCAAATAAACCCTTTCTTCCCTAAGTTGGTTTGGGTGGAGTTTTTGTTTTTGGTCCTCCCCCAAGACAGGGTTTCTCTGTTTAACAATCCTGGATTGTCCTGGAACTCACTTTATTATAGACCAGGCTGGCCTCGAACTGAGATCAGCCTGCCTGTGTGCTGGGATTAAAGGCGTGCGCCACCGCTGCCTGGCTTGGCTCAGGTGCTGTGTTACAGCAACACAGAGCTGATGATGACAGGGAAGACTCACCCCGCTGTAGGCGGCACAAACGGAAAGTGGGCGCCAAGCAGCAATACACCTTCATCCCTCACTCTCTAGGTGTGACGGATGTGGCCCATCTTCCCCACCATGACAGGCTGTCTCCTCGTGAGCCATTAGCCAAAAATCAACTGTTTCTCCCTTCAGTGGATTTTGTCAGAATCTTTTCATCTCCCAGTGCCGGGATTACATGCATGCGCCAACACACCTGACTTTTTAACATAGGTTCTGTGTATCAAATTCAGGTCCTCCTGCTGGCACGGTAAGCCCTGTCCCCACTGAGCCATCTCCCATTCCACCTCTGCCCTCACGCCATACCCCGACTGATCAACACGACCACCTGGTGCTTTTCCACATGCTAAGTGTTTATTTTCATTCCCGCTACATCCTCCGAGGCAGGACAAATGTTTTTCACAGACACGGAGGTCCTAGGGCCTGAAGGGGGAGGGGGACTCATGCCTTCAGTTTTTCCACCAGTTCCGGTCATCTTCCTCTAAGGAATACCAGTCACCAGTGATCACCGTGTCGGGCCAGGTGAGCTGTATCTCCTCCAGCTGCCTTCTCACCTCGGCATGGTACTGCTGCTTCCACAGGCTGGGAAGAAAGGACTGTCATGCTAGGACCCATCTTTGACCTGTCCCACCTTCTCAGATGTCCTGGAAGCCAAACCAAGGACTACAAACCTTTTTGAGAACTCGCAGTGAGAGAGAGTAGTACATTTGCCACAGTTAAAAAGCACCGGGGGTGTGGTTCCCAAGGCCCCACCCCCAGTGGAAGAGGAAGGAGAATCACTTTTCTTTCTTTGGGGTCGTGGCCACTGCTGGCTGCTCATTCCCTAACCCCCGAGGAGGACTCCACACCCGTGTGCATGTGGGCTGCACTAACAGGGGGGCGGTCAGTCAGTTATGAACTAATTAAAAAATAAATAAAAAAAGACAAACCAGGCATGGTGGCCCAGGCCTTCAATCCCAGCAGCTAGATCTCCAGGACAGCCAGGACTATACAGTGAGACCCTGTCTCAAACAGCACAACATCCCAGCCATTCTGGGGACTTCAATGCATAGGCACATGCAGGCATGTGAACCACAGATGTACACACACTCAAACACACATGAATCCACACATGTAAAAGTAAGTCCTAAATGCAAAGGAAATCCACTCTGTGTGCTGTGTTTGTCCCATCCCACTTGAGAAGAGGGCTATTTAAAACATTTCAACAGCTGCAGAGAAATCCCACTTGGCCTCTGGAAGATCAGCTGGTAAAACTGACTAGGTGGGACTGGTAGTGGTGAATGTGTGTGGGTGTGCTCCAGTATGTGTGTGTGTGTGCATATGTGTATGTGTTGCATTGTGTATGTGTGGGCATGGGTGTATGTATGTGTGCTGTGCATGTATGTGTGCATATTGTATGTGTGCATGTGTATGTGTGTTATGTTTTTGTGTGTGCGTATTGTATATATTGTGTGTGCACATATGTGAGTGTACTGTGTTGTTTTTTGTGTGCACGGTATTGTGTCTACATGTGTGTATTGTGTTTTTTGTGTGTATATGTGTATTGTGTGTATGTGCATGTGTGAGTGCATTTGCGTGTTGTGTCTTTAGTGTGTATGTGTGTATTGTGTGTACATGTAATTGTTGTGTATGTGTTTTGTATGTGTGTGCACGCGTGTGTGCGCTGTGTGTTGTGCTGTTTTGTGTGTATGTGCACACACATGCAAGTGTGCAGGTGGAGAACAGAGGTCAGCATCATGGCCGTTTGTCTTTCTCCCTCACTCTTCACTTTGAGAAACTCCCTAAACCTAGAGCTTGCTGACTGGCTAGGCAGGCCGGCTGGCCAATGAACTCCAGATCTTCTGTTTTGGCTTGCAGGTGTGTGCACCACCACATCTGGCTTTTACAGGGGTTCTAGGGAGCAGAACTCTCAAGCCCTCAGGCTTGTATAGGAAGCACTTTACAGACAGCCATCTCCCCAAGACTGCACCAACTACTAAGACCATACTCACCATCTGGGCCTGTCAGACTGCTGGCTCATTGGTAAAATTCTCTCTCTCTTTTTTTTTAAATTATTTTTTCCAAGACAGGATTTCTCTGTGTAACTTTGGAACCTGTCCTGGCACTGGCTCTGTAGACCAGGCTGGCCTCAAACACATAAAGATCCACCTGCCTTTGCCTCCCAAGTTCTGGGATCAAAGGTGTGTGCGCCACCACCTCCTGGCTCCAGTTGGTTCTTTAAACCAACATTCTGCCCTTTGGGCTTGTTTGCACACGCACCTTGTGAGATGTTTATGTAAAGACTGCCAGCCTCACCCAGCCAGGGTTCCCCATCCTACCGCCCCTTCCCTGTCGTCTCCAATGGTACACTCCATCCCTACAGTCACCCCTGGGCTTTATGCATTTATAGGCATGTGCTAAAACGTGTACTCTGGATACATCCCGTGGCTCTTACCTGGAGCAGTCGCTCAACTGAGCCACCTCACCACCAACCTCATCTGGGCTGCCAGCCCTATCCTCTTCAGCCCAATTCTTTGTTTTTGTGGGCAGGATCTTACCCAGAACATACTAGGTGGGCTAGCCTGGCTTCAAATGTGCAGCAATCCTCCTGCCTCTGCTTCCTTAGAGCTGGGACTACAGGCATGTGCCATTTTGCTTGGAACTTCAGCCAAATTACTTTCTTGGATTCTAAGTACACTTGGGCACGTGAGATGGCTCAGTGGATAAAGATACTTGGCTGCTAACCTGTCAACCTGAATTTTATCCCGGGACCTTCATGATGGAATGAGAAAGCTGGCTTTTGCGAGTTGTTCTGATTTCCACACATACACACAAAGAAACAATATCTTAAGAAATAGACTGCATGTGTCTGCACGCACTGTGCACGTGTCTGCACGCACTGTGCACGTGTCTGCACGCACTGTGCACGTGTCTGCACGCACTGTGCACGTGTCTGCACGCACTGTGCACGTGTCTGCACGCACTGTGCACGTGTCTGCACGCACTGTGCACGTGTCTGCACGCACTGTGCACGTGTCTGCACGCACTGTGCACGTGCAGGGCCCACAGAGGCCAGCAGAGAGCACAGAGACACCGAAACTTAAGTTATAGGCTGTTGTGGGTCACCATGTGGGTTATGGGGACAGAAATCATCCCTCTGCAAGAGCAGCAAATGCTTTCAAGCATCAACCCATCTTTCGAGTCCCACTCCATTTAATTATAGTTGCTTGCATGAATGGGGGTGTTAATTATCGGAACACAGCAACTTCTCAGTGGCTCCATTCAATGTTTAACATGGGGGACAAACTTGTCTACTTTTGATTGAGATAGAGTCTTAGGCTGTGGGCTACACCGCCCTGGAACTCACTATGTAGTCAAAGCTAGCGCCATGTTTGTGGCAATCTTCTTCGTCTCAGTCTCACAAGGGCTAGGACTGCAGGTGTGAGACTCAGCAGAATGAACCATTTTAACCATCCTGGGGCGCATACGAGGCATCACACTAACAGCTATACTGTAGAGCAACCACGCCCGTCACCCAGAGAACTTTCCCATCATTCCAAACTGAAAAATCTGCAGACATTATATGGGAACTCTAAATGTTCCTTTCCCCTTTAAAATAATTTTGGCAGTGCCAGGTATGGAACCCAGGGCTTTACCTATCTAAGAAAGATCTCTCCACACCACCTGGCCCTCTTTGTCTCATCCTTTAGTAACCTCCAGTCTTCCTGTCTGGAGTCTAAATCTAGGGCCCTCGTGTGCATGGTTACACAACAGCTTTGTGACTGACTTCTCTTAACATAGAGTCCTTGTGTCTCAGCCATGATGAGCAGGCATCAAATTCCCTGTCTTGAAAAATGCCACTATAAACATGACTGTATTAATTATCTCTTTAACATTTTTTCCCAAACAGGGCTTACTGCATAACCTTGGCTGTCCTGGAACCGTCAGCGGTCCTCAACCTGTAGGTCATGACCCCTTTGAGGTCCCCCATGAGACACCCTGCATACCAGATGTTTACATTATGATTCATAAAAGTAGCAAAATTACAGTTATGAAGTAGCAATGAAATAATTTATGGTGGGGGGGGTCATCCCAACACGAGGGAGTGTATTAAAGGGTCGCAGCGTTAGGAAGGCTGAGAAGCACTGCTCTCAGTAGACTAGGCTGACCTCAAACTCAGATTCACCTGCCTCCAGCGATTAAAGTGCGTGCTATCATGCCTGGTGCAGACGTCTCTTTGAGACCTTGTTTTCAACGGTTTTGATGACATATCCAGAAGTAAAATTGATGACCCTACAGCAATTCTGCTTTTAGTGTGAGGGCAAACGTGTGTTGTCCTCCCTCCTGCTGCCCGTTCAAAGGTCAGCTCCCTGAGTCATGCGTCTTGTCTTACACCCATGTTCCCTTAGCCTAGCATTCCACAACTTAATGGGATTCACCTTTTAGATAAATGGTTATCAACCTATGGGTTGTATATCAGATATTTTCATCATGATTCCTAACAGTAGCAAAATCACATTTATGAAGCAGCAATGAAAACAATCGAATGAGTTGGGCAGTTATAGTGCTCACTTTTAATCCCAGAACTTGGGAGGCAGAGATAGGTAAATCTCTGAGTTTGAGACCAACCTGGTCTACAGAATGAGTTTCAGGATAGCTAGCACTACATAGAGAAACCCGCTCTCAAAACTGTCCCCCCCCCCAAAAAAAAAAGTCAGGAAAATAACTTAATGGTTGGGGGTTACCACAACATGAGGAACTGTACTGAGTGGTCACAGCATTAGGAAGGTTGAAAACCAAAGCTTTTGATAAAGATAGTTGCCAAGCCAAGGATCCCAATCACTTCCAAGCATTGCTGCTTCTCCGAGTAACGTGTCAGAGAGTCAAGTTTACGTCTCAGGAGACGATCAGTAGGGACTTACCCAATTATACGCAGATTGGAGGTGAAATGGCGGAAGGCATAACACAGCTTCAACATCCCCGGCGTATTGAAGCTGTTCTTCACCAGGTTGAGGCTGGTGAGGCACTGGTTGCTATCGAGGGTCGACGACAGGGCCTCACAGCTTTCGAAAGTCAGCCCGCACGCCTCCAGCCTACACGGAAGCCCAAGCAAGAATCTGTCACTCAGCCCAGAAGAGCTTCAACCCAGTGTTTAAAAAAGGTGAGTGGGAAGCCAGGCGGTGGTGGCGCACGCCTTTAATGCCAGCACTCAGGAGGCAGAGGCAGGTGGATCTCTGTGAGTTTGAGGCCAGCCTGGTCTACAAGAGCTAGTTTCAGGACAGGCTCCAAAGCCACAGAGAAACTATCTCAAAACCAAGCCAAACAAACAAACAAACAAAAATCTGAGTGGGGTTCTGTTCCCAGAGTTTGATTTAATTGTTCTTGGGAAGAGCCCAGATAGTCCCAACCCTTAAGTTCTTGTTCTGGATCTGAGAGCTTCTGGGGACACCTCAAACTGTCTTTGTGAAAGGGACCAGAGACACTGAAATAGGGAATACAAAGGACACAGGAACACAGAAATACTAGCTGATTAAGAAGTGATACCATGCCTGGTGGTGGTGGCACACATCCTTAAACCCAGCACTCAGGAGGCAGAGGCAGGTGGATCTCTAAGTTTGAGGCCACCCTAGCTACAGAGCAAGTTCTAGGATAGCCAAGGCTACACAGAGAAACCTTGTCTAGAAACCCCTCTTCCCCCCAAAAGTGATATTGCTCCAGAGACTCAAAGGATGGGGAAGTGCGTGAAGGAGGCAGATGTCCAGACACGCACATCCACGGAAGCTGCATGGACCTGCTCTAGTGGGAGGACCCTTAACAGATAACCACGTCCGGGTCTGAGCTTGCTCAGGGACTCTGTGGGCCATGGGAGGCTGAAAACCTTATAGTAAAGGGTTAGCATCGAAGAAAATGGATAGACTGGAGATTAGTGTATTAAATGAATTAAGTCAGACTTGGAAAGACAAATATTGCATTGTTTTCTGTTCTTGGAGCCTAGCTTGTAAGTAGATACATAAAGTCATATACATAAAGTAGCTGTGAAGCTGTCCAGGCCAATAAAGAGGACTGGTGGGATGGGGAGGGGGATGTGAGAGGGGAAGGTTCAGAGATGTGTGTGGGGGTCAAAAGGTGTATGACATGGTCGAAGTAACTACGTATATTTGAATGAGAACGTCCCTGGGAAACCCAGTACTATCTAGGAAAAATGCATGGCAATAAAAAATTAGGGCTTTTTCCCGAGAAGAGCAGCATGCCAGAGAACATCACTGACAAGGGCGTCGGAAAGACGCTTAGCGGTTAAGAGCATTTGCTGCTCTTGGAGAGGACTCGGGCTTGCTTCTCAGCACTCCTGTCAGATGGCTCACAGCAGCCTGGGACTCCAGCTCCAGGAGAGCGTGCTCTCCTTATGGCCTTGGTGGACACAGACAAGCATGTGGCGCAAATAAAGACAAGCAGGCACACACCCAAGCACACAGGGCAAATTGTAAATAAAAAGATTCAGCAGCCACTGAGCTGGGCATGGGAGTGCCCTCCTGTTCACCCGCACACTCAAAAGGCTGAGACAGACACATAAGATCCAGGCCACTTGTGCTGAACAGAAAGCATCCACCTCCGAGGAAAGAAAACCAATGGATCATGGTCTATTGGTGTGCTCTGATATTTGAAAAGTCACACTGACTAGTTTTGTGTATGCACACACGTGTGTGTTTGCTGTGTACATGCGGAGGTCAAGGGACAATCTACTATGGGTAGTTTTCTCCTCCTATTTGAATCCCAGTGTCAGAACTCAGATGGTTGGGTGCCTTTACCTACCGAACCATGTCACTGGCCCATAGTATTTAAAAAAAAATTACTTTTATTTTTATTTATGTGTATATCGTGTGTCTGTGGGTGTGCACGTGTGTGATAGGATCTCACAGAACCTCACAATGTAACCCCAGACTGGCCTCAAACTCAAGACGATTCTCCTAGAACAACAGGTGTGAGCTGCCATATCTGGGTAGCACTCTGGTCAGATGGTTGAGATGCTGAGACTAAAAGTCTTAACCACTGGTTGCTTTGGGTTCATTCTCCCCGTTAGATTCTATGTGCGGTGCCACCAAGGCCTTTGTTGTCACTATTTCCACCACACAATACCCAGTACCCAGCATTGTGCCAATCACAGAGGGGAGGCTCAGCGAGTATCTGAAAGCTCCCCACCCGCTAGACCCTGACACCCATCACACCACCTTGGGGTCATGGCTCGGGTCCCTCCCACCACCTCCTCTGAGCTCAGCCCCTCGAAGAGGCGACCCTAAGAGATTACCCAAGTCTCCTCAGGGAGCTGTTATTCTGTTTCAGCCCCTTGCACAGGGCTATGGCTCCGTTGTCACCCAGGTTGTTGTAGCCGAGGTCCAAGCTCTTCAAGTGCTGGTTCATGGTGATCATGCTGGCCAGATTCTCGCAGCAGTCCCCGGTGAGCCAGCACTCCACCAGTCTGCAAGGGACACGGGAAATCCACGCCCTCAGTGGGGCAGACTAGCACAGGAGCAATATTCAGGAACACTGGGAACGGCTGCCTTTATTTTCTCCTACGAGGCTGTCTTGGATAAAGGGTCCCTGCTACCCGAGTGATGATCCTAAACTTCATCCCCGGAGTCTACATGGTTGGAGGTGAGAACTGCCTCCTGCAAGCTGTCTTCTGACCTCCATGTGGGCACCGCTGCCCATAAAGGCCCTCCACTCCAAATAAGAAAACACACACTGCAATTTAAAGGGAGATGGCCTTTACTGTGCATGGAGTATGCACGCGTGCGTATGTGTGTTAGGCGGGTAGGGATGTTCTCACACCTGTGCATGCCTGTGGAGAGTCCAGAGACTGACATCAGGTATACGCCTCTATTTCCCTATGCTTTAAACTTGTCATTTTAGAGAGGCTTGCTGGCCAGTGATCCCCTGGGATCTGCTTGGCCGACTCCTTAGTGTTGGGGTTATAAGCACATGCAGGGGGCAGCTAGGTGAGCTCTGCAAATCTGAATGCAGGTTTTCAGGTTTGCTAGGCAGACCCCATCCCCAAGAGACAGCTTTTCTATCTGTTCTCACGAGTGGAGCAGAGCGGGTGGCCCGTTAGCCTCGGAGATGGGTAGCAGTGGAGGGGAACCTGCAGCAGGTATGGATGAGTGGAGGCATCTTTTGAAAAAGAACTGTGCAGACTGGGAGGCGTGGCTCAGTGGTAGAGCCCCTGCCTAGAATCCCCCAGTGAGGGCTGGGGGTGTGGCTCAGTGGTAGAGCATCTGCCTAGAATCCCCCAGTGAGGGGCTGGGGTGTGGCTCAGTGGTAGAGCCCCTGCCTAGAATCCCCCAGTGAGGGCTGGGGGTGTGGCTCAGTGGTAGAGCCCCTGCCTAGAATCCCCCAGTGAGGGCTGGGGGTGTGGCTCAGTGGTAGAGCCCCTGCCTAGAATCCCCCAGTGAGGGCTGGGGGTGTGGCTCAGTGGTAGAGTGCACATACAAGAATTTTGGTTCCATTCCTGGAAACCAAACCATAAAACCAAAAACAATAACAAAAAATACAAAACCCAAAACCAAACAGACAAAACAAAACAAAACCCAATCAACCAACCATAAGTCACCAAACCAAATTATCTGTGAAGAAATGAACAAACTTCAAGGGATCAAGGGTGACTCTGAATGCGGATTCCCCAGCCAGTGTGACTGCAGAGGGCTGAGCACTTGACCTTTAGACTAGTCTCGTGTCTCCGTGTCCACCTCTCCTGCCATCTAGGGTGGCAGAGACGACCCTTAGCCACCCCCGTCTACTCACTCCAGCTCTTGCAGGTGACAGGTTGGTTCCTTTATAGCCTCGCACAGAAACTTCACGCCGTCGTCCGCCACGGGGTTCTTGGTCAGGCTCAGGTGTGTCAGCGTTCTGTTGTTGATCAGCGTCAGCGCCAGGAAGCCACAGGCATCTCCTTTGAGGTCGCACTGGTTCAGTCTACGGGGACACAAAGGGGAGGAGGGTGGGATGGGCTCCTCTCTGCCTCAGTTTACTCTACGACGGGGCTCATGTTTACATTGACCACTGCCGTGAGCCTTAAGTGGTGGGTGGTTAAAGACCCTGGCAGTTACCGGGATACTTATTAGCACTGGACACACTCAAAGCGAGAGCTCCAACCGGGGCCGGCAGGATGGCTTAGCAGGTAAAGTGCTTGTCCTTAAGCCTGAGAACTTCAACCTGGATCCATTCTCTGGGAACTACATGGTGGAAGGAGATTACCAACTCCTAGCTTCTCTGCCACCCGTATGTATGCTGTGGTTGGTATGTGTATGTGTGTGTGTGTGCGCACGTGTGTGTGTTCGTATGTGTATGTGTGCGTAGTGTGTGTGCGTATGTATGTGTGCGCACGTGTGTGCACAGATTCTCCAAACCTATTTCCCCTGTATTTTAATAGAATTTCAAACATTTTATTTTATTATTTTATTATTTTTTATTTTTTGGTTTTTCGAGACAGGGTTTCTCTGTGGTTTTGGAGCCTGTCCTGGAACTAGCTCTTGTAGACCAGGCTGGTCTCGAACTCAGAGATTCGCCTGCCTCTGCCTCCCGAGAGCTGGGATTTAAGGCATGCGCCACCACCGCCTGGCAAGAATTTCAAACATTTTAAATCACATTTTACGTTTGTGTGCGAGACTGCACATATGCTACAGTGCGTGAACGGAGGTCAGGGGACAGCTGGTGAAGCTGGCTCTCTCCTTCCACCGTAATAGGTCCCCGGGATCAAACTCACACTGTTAGACTTGACAGCAGGCACCTCTACCTACTGAGGCATCTTGCTGGCACTAGTTAATATTTCCGAGACAGGGTCTTCAGCAGGCCAGGCTGGCTGGGAACTCCTTTTGTAGATGAGGATAGCCCAGAACATTCCTGCCTCGCCGTCCTGAATATTGTAGTTATAAGGTAAAACACCACCCCACCACGTCCTGAATATTGTAGTTATAAGGTAAAACACCACCCCACCACGTCCTGAATATTGTAGTTATAAGGTAAACACCACCCCACCACGTCCTGAATATTGTAGTTATAAGGTAAACACCACCCCACCACGTCCTGAATATTGTAGTTATAAGGTAAAACACCACCCCACCACGCTCGGGTTATCTTAACACACCTCCTGGTTTATGACAGACACACGTATATATTTACTATGTGTGTCAGCGAGTTCAGATCGCAGTGTGTGTGTGTGTCAGAGAACAAACTGTGACACTTGGCTCTCTCTCTCCACCATGTGGGTCCTGGGTTATTGAACTCAAGCCATTAGGCATGGCGGCCAGCTCCTTCACCTGCTGCCACACCCCGTATATGTTTTATTCACACGATGTTACCAGTGGACCGATTGTTCAAAGAGAATAAGCAGCAAGAAGCCAGCCCATAATAGCCAGAGTAAGCAAATGGCATCGATACGAGTAACAAGAACCTCTCACTCTGCCAGGCCTAAGATTTCTGGCTGAAGATAGCAGAGGCTGACGAAATTACATGGAAACATGGCCTCACAGCAGCCACGGGAAAGGCTGTTCCCACTGCAGTCCACGCGTGTGGCCTTCCTAGGAGCCGCCAATCCCACACATCTGTGACCTTAGCTCTGAGTCCTCTACACCCACCTAAAAGTGTTTTCATGTGCGTGTGTGGCAGCCACTGAGCTGCTGCTCATGAGCACTTTCATTTCTAAAGATTTTTAGTTTGTATGTGGAAGTGTTTGGATGCCGTATGGATGTTTATTGTGTGCAGTACCCTTGGAGGCCACAAGAGGGCATGAGATCCCTGGAACTGGAGTTAGGGATGGTTGTGAGCCTCCACCTGGGTGCTAGGAACTGAACCTCAGTCTTCTGCAAAATCAGCAAGTGCTCTTAACTGCTGAGCCATCTCTCAAGCCCAACCCTAGCTTGTTTCTTGAGCCAAGCCCTCTAACTGGCTGCTGATTCAGTCTCCTGCTCTCTGCACTGGGATTAGAACGGTGCACCAAGCACCTGTTTTAATCATCAGGTGAGTTCAGGGGATCCGAACTGAGGTCTTCATGCATCTGTGGCAGGTGATTTACTGCTGAGCTGTCTGCCCAGCTTCCCTGGAAACCTTAATTCTCACACAGACTCTCAGCTCTGTAGAGACAGACAGCGCATGCCCTTTCCAACACGGTGTTACCAGCTGTGGTCTGACAAGACGGCTCAGCGGGTAAAGGTGCCGAGCACGAGTCTATGACGACTCTGACTCCCACCTGTGTGCGGTGGTGCACATGCTTGTCCCCTCCACCCCACACACAGCAAACATAAAAACCTACGACTGTTTTCCTGATACACTCAATCCTTCTGCGTCATCCATGCAGCAATAACAAGATGGTTTTTATACCAACGAGGGTCCTAGAACCAGAGTCCTACACATACTGGGTGTGGTGGGTTGAACACAAAATATCAACCTAAGGGTCCTGTCTGAACACTTGGTTCCCAGTTGGGGGTGCTCTTTAGAGAGGTGGTGGCCTCCCTTCACTTCCTGCTCTGCTTCCCATGAGTGTATAAAAACCTGCCCAGCTGCTTCCTGTCTGGCCATTTTGTTTTTCCTGACTATTGCCAAGCCTCCCCAGCTATGCTGGACTCTATCCCTCAGGAACAGTAAGCTAAAATAAATTCCTTGAAGTTGCTTTCTGCCGGGGTGTTATAACACACTCCCCACCACACCCCATCTCTCTGGCCACCGCCCGTCACTCCCCCTGAGAACTGAGAAAGGAGCCAGACTCACATGAGCCGCTGGAGAGCACACCGCGGGCCCTTCAGGAACCGGCACAGCAGTCTCACCTCTTCCGTCCTCAGACTGTTGTTGGACAGACACAGGTGGGTCAAGGTCATGTTGCTGGAAAGGGCTGAGACCAGACCGTGGCAGCTGACCGGGCTGAGTTCACAGCTGTCCAGTCTGCAAGGAGAGCCCCCCCAGAGGAGACAATGAGTTCCTGTTCACCACAGCACTACCCAGGATGCCTAGCGATGGAGCCAGCGACAGTGTTCAGCCACAGAGCAGCCAACATGGAAAATGTGCATGCAGGCAGCGAAACATTTTCACCATAAAGAACGAAGTTGCGTTGTTTGTAGGAAAACGGAGGCAACCAGAGACAGGTGTACTAAGTGAACTCAACCAATTTCATTGTGGTTCCTAGATCTAAATCTAAAAATTTTAAAAGTGTGTGTATGTGTGCGTGTCTGTATATGTGCACGCCATCTGGGTTCCCAAGGAGGCCAGAAGAAGGCATTAGATTCTTTGGAGCAGGAGTCAGAGGCACCTAGGAGATGCCCGATGTGGGTGCTGGAACGGAACCCAGGTCCTCTGGAAGAGCAACGGTGTTTAGCTGCTAAGCCATCTCTCCAGCTCCACCCCTTGGTTGTTTGGAGACAGGGTTTCTCTGTCCTGGCTGTCCTGGAACTCTGGAGACCAGGCTGGCCTTGAACTCACAGAGATTTGCCTGCCTCTGCCTCCCAAGTACTGGCAGCCTCACACTTTAACAGAATTTTAAAAATTACATATTTTTTACGTGCAATAGTGTCTTGCCTGCATGTCTGTGTGAGGGTGCCAGATCCCCTGGAACTGGAGTTACAGACAGCTGTGAGCTGCCATGTGGGTACTGCGAATTGAACCCAGGTCCTCTGTTAGAGCAGTCAGAGCTTTTAACCACTGAGCCATCTCTCCAGCCACCTCATACTTTTTAAAGCACAGTTTACTTATTTATTATGTGCATGTATGGGGGCACCGTGTGTTTTAGCAGGAAACTGAAGAGTTAGTTTACTCTTTACCATGTGGCTTCAAGGACCTGGGCTAAGATCACCAAGGCTTGGCGGCAACCTCACCAGCCAGCCCAAGATTTTATGTAGATACATACAACTGTGAATATCATGGGAAGAGAAATGGCTGCGTCGGCTATGGGTGAGAGAGAATATGGGTGTAGGGTGTACAGCTGCTACACAGACAGTATATATAGGTGTGGGGTCTGGAGGACCGGCTCAGTAGTTAGAGCGCTGCTCATCTCCAGCATCTGGACGGGATGGCTCCCCACCACCTGTAACTCCAGCTCCTAGGGATCCGATGCTCTCTCCTGTCCTCTGTAGGTACTGCCCTAACAGATACCTACAAGATAAAGTAAATCTTAGTATATACATGTACAAAAAATTTAAAAATTTTCCTCCCCTCTCATCCCTTGGGTTTTGTCTATATGTATGAGGGCATGTGTGCACCATGGCTCCCCTCTCATCCCTTGGGTTTTATCTGTATGTGTGGGGCATGTGTGCGCCATGGCTCCCCTCTCATCCCTCGGGTTTTGTCTATATGTATGAGGGCATGTGTGCACCATGGCTCCCCTCTCATCCCTCGGGTTTTGTCTGTGTGTGTGCACCATGGCTCCCCTCTCATCCCTCGGGTTTTGTCTGTGTGTGTGCACCATGGCTCCCCTCTCATCCCTCGGGTTTTGTCTGTATGTGTGGGGCATGTGTGCGCCATGGCTCCCCTCTCATCCCTCAGGTTTTGTCTATATGTATGAGGGCATGTGTGCACCATGGCTCCCCTCTCATCCCTCGGGTTTTATCTGTATGTGTGGGGCATGTGTGCGCCATGGCTTCCCTGTCATCCCTCGGGTTTTATTTGTATGTGTGGGGCATGTGTGCGCCATGGCTCCCCTCTCATCCCTCGGGTTTTATCTGTATGTGTGGGGCATGTGTGCGCCATAGCTTTCACATGAAGTGCAGAGGACAACTTGGTGGCTGCCCATTTTCTTTCCGCTATATGGCTACTTGCTCTGGGGATCCTGTCTCTGCCTCCTTAGTGCTGTGTAATCCATCAGGTCTATCTGGATCTCCGTGGGTTCTGGAGAGCTGAACTCTGGTCCCCACGTTTGCTCTACATGCTCCTACATGCTCCTTACCCACAGATCCACCTGACCAGCACACCTATTTCCCGTGTGTGTGTGTGTGTGTGTGTGTGTGAAGAGCTCATTCTGTAGCTCAGGCCTCCCTAGACTTGTTATGGCCCTTCTGTATTAGCCTCCTGAGTACTGGAATTACAGTCGTATACAACCAGACCCTGTGCCAACCATGCCCATGTTGTTTTGGGCTTGGCCAGGCAAGAAGGATGTCACTAGTCACTGAACGAGATCATCTCTAACCGTGGAGTCAAGTGTGAACTAATCCACTTGGCTCATGTAAGCCTCACGCTCCAAAGGCACTCTGTCAGTACAGAGGTCTTGGGCTGATTCCTATTACTCTCCTTTTGCACAGGAGGGCTATGATGGAGTGAACAGGGCTTTCCTGTGAGGCCTTATTCTAGAGTGCAACATCTGCCACTCCCACCTGGTCTTCCAGACACCTCAGCTTGACAGAGAGCGAGCGGGACTCACATCAGCTTCTGGAGTGTACACCTGGAGCTACTCAAGGCCCCACAGAGCTGCCCCATGCTCTTCTCTGTCACCCCATTTCTTGCCAGGCTGAGAGACTTCAGGCTGGTGGATGAGAGAAGGAGCTCGGAGATCATACTGTAAGAAGTGGAGGTCAGATCGCAGGAATCCAATCTGCAGAGACAGATAATAGCCTGAGACATTTTTCTCATCCCTCCTGGGTAACCCAGGGTAACACACTCTTGACTCAGCTACTTAGGAACTGGAGGTGGGTGCACACAAATAGCTTCCCCTTTCCTTTTCCTTATAGTAGCCCGCCAATGCTTTTACCTAGCGCCCCATACCCCATAGATACAATAAGTTATCTATGCTTCGCTAAATGAAAGAAAGTGCTGGGCTGGTGAGAACGCTTGGGGTAAAGGAGCTGGCTGCCAAGACTGAGACCTGGGTTTGATACCACGACCCATACGTTGGAAGGAGAGAACCCATTCCCACAAGTTGTTCTGACCACACACACGGTGGCATGAGCACACACATATGCACACGCGCACACCCAAAATTAGTAAACACAATCCAGTGCAAAAGAACGAAAGTGACAACTCCTCAGCATGACTTGACAAGTGACCCATGTCAGCTCTAGCTCAGAAAGTTTGCCGTGGTCACATGGCCACTCAAAGAAAATCCCGGAGGGTGCACACGACCCCTTCTTTTCCTCTGGAGACAAGGCCTCAACGTAGCCCAGGTTGGCCTCAAAATCACTAAGTAGCCCAGGATGATCTTGGGCTTCTGCTTTTCCTGCCTCTACCTCTTGGGTGCTGGGATTTCAACGTACAAGCCCTGTGCTTGGTTTTGTGCAGTGATGGGAACTAAAGGGACACTTTCTGCATGTTAGACAAGCCCTTCACCAACCGAGCAACATCCGCAGATTTCCCCACCCTGTTTTTCTAGACGCAGGATCTTGCTAGGCAAACCAGGCTGGCCTCTCAAGCTCACCATCCCCAGCTCAGCGACCACGGTTCCAGGTACATACTCCGCAGCATGCAGTGTTTCCAGTCTTTCCCCACATTTATTGAATGTGTGTGCGCACACATGTTACAGTGTGCACGTGGAGGTCAGGGGTCATTTCTCTCCCCCCCCCCCCCCCCGCATCAACTAGGTTCTGGGGATGGACCTCAGGTCACCAGACTAGTGACAAACTTCTTTATCCACTGGGCCATCTCACTGGTCCTGTTTAATTTTTACAACACACTGAGGAGTTTCACCGTGGCACAGCATTTATACCTTGAAATCTACTATTTGAGATGCGCCCTTTGTTGGCACGCAGTCCACTCTTTTTCTCAATTCTCCCAGCTCTCCCACTCCCAGTGAGAGTGTTGCCAAATCAGTACGGCCACCCTTCTCCGGGACGTCTCTCAAGTCCTCTATTTATTGCGACTTTCTGGAGACTTTCTGAAAGCCACGCATTTGATAACCAGAACGAAGCTCACCGCAAAGTCTCCAGGGAGCAGTTAGGGTGTCTCAGCGCTTCACAGACTAACTTGATGTCATCATCCTTCAGATTATTATTCCCCAGGTTGAGGTATTTTAAGTTTCGGTTGCTAATGAGGGTCATCCAGAGATACTGAAGGCCAGCGGCTATCTCTGCACCCTTAAGCCTGCAGAAATGGAAGAGATGAGGAATGCAGTCACATCCTAATCCTTTTTCTCTTAAATTATAGCATGTTTGCTCATTGTGTGAAGACAGATTACCGTGATTGGTTTAATAAAGAGTTGAACGGCCAATAGGAGGCTAGGCAGGAGGTATAGACAGGACTTCCAGGTAGAGAGAAAGGAAGTAGATGAATCCAGGTGCTCATCAGACACCAACAGGACTTGAAGGGAGTCAGACATACAGAATGAAAAAAAAAAAGATAGAAAGCCACGAGGCAAAATGGAGACGATTAGAAATGGGTTAAATTCTGGGAGCTGGTGGGACAAGCCTAAGATAAGGGACCATGCCTGGCTTCACCGAGTGGCAGTACTAGCTCAGGCCTGGAAGTGGTGGCTCCTGAGGGTACCTCAGTCCCAGTAGGGGGACCAGGTATCCTGGATGACAGCGCCACTATCTGCCGCGTCTGCCAGAAGCCAGGTGACCTGGTCATGTGCAACCAGTGCGAGTTTTGCTTCCACCTGGATTGCCACCTCCCTGCCCTGCAGGATGTTCCAGGGTATGTGTGAGGCTGGGCTGGGTCAAGATAGATCACGGAGAGCTGAGTGTTTGTCATCATTCACATCTACTCTTCTCCCTAGGGAAGAGTGGAGTTGCTCACTCTGCCACGTGATCCCTGACCTAAAGGAGGAAGATGGAAGCCTTAGCCTGGATGGATCAGATAACACTGGTGTGGTTGCTAAGCTCTCACCAGTCAACCAGCGGGTAAGGGCTGAATGCTTAGATGTTGGGTGGCCCAGTGGCTGAAGCCCCCTCCATCCTTTAACTGCCATCTCTTGTGCTGTCTAGAAATGTGAGCGCGTCCTTCTGGCCCTGTTCTGCCATGAACCCTGCCGCCCCTTGCACAAGCTGGCTACTGATTCTACATTCTCCATGGTGAGTTCCAGAACGTAGGAGAGGTTGGGGATGTCAAGAAGTGGTGGTGTATCCCCTCATGCCAATGTTGTGTCTCCCTGCAGGAGCAGCTTGGTGGTACCCTAGACCTGACCCTGATACGTGCTCGCCTTCAAGAGAAGCTGTCACCCCCTTATAGTTCTCCCCAGGAGTTTGCCCAAGATGTGGGCCGCATGTTCAAGCAGTTCAACAAGCTGACTGAGGTGAGCCTGCAGAATGAACACTGGAGGGTGGGGATGGGGGAGGAAAAAGCTAGGATCTACTCACCGTTGTACTCTTAAATTGGTCCAGGACAAGGCGGATGTGCAGTCCATCATCGGCCTGCAGCGCTTCTTTGAGACGCGCATGAATGATGCCTTTGGTGACACCAAGTTTTCTGCTGTGCTGGTAGAACCACCACCGCTGAACCTTCCCAGTGCTAGCCTAAGTTCTCAGGAGCTGTCCGGTGGCCCTGGTGATGGTCCCTGAAGCTGGAGCTCTTGTGGTCAGCCCGGTCAAGCTCTGGTCTCTGTCCTTTTACCCCATACCCTCTCCTCCTTTGGTGGCCTGACTCCTGCTCTTGGTGGCCCTATCCTCCAGTCCCTCTTCACAAAATGGTTTTTATTTCTGTGGATTTAATAAAAACTTCACGGGGCTGGAGAGATGGCTCAGCGGTTAAGAGCACTGACTGCTCTTCCAGAGGACTAGGGTTCAGTTCCCAGCACCCACATGGCAGCTCACAACTGTCTGAAGATCCAGTTCCAGGGGATCTGACACCTTCACACCAGTGCGCATAAAATAAAATAAACAATAAGAAATATTAAAAAAACAAAAAAACTTATGCACCTCTTTATGAGTTTTTTTTCCAGTCAGCTCCCATCCTGTGTTTCTGGGAACTTGTTTCATGCACCCTTTACAGTGCTGGTCCTCTCAGGGTTTATAGATGGGCCCTGTCTAGGCAGGAGAAGCCTGCCAAGGCAAGCCCTGCCTTGTAGCCGGCTGGTGGCACTTACATTAGATTCTGTATATTACAGGCTGGATTCCGCAGTTTGAGACATAGTATCTTCATGGCCCATTCGTTTAGGACGCTGCTACCCAGATCCAGCTTATTCAGTTTTGGATGCGTGCTGAGTACTGAGCAGAAGTCCTCCCACAGCTCCATGATGAGGGACTTACCCTGTGCCCTGGTCAGCGAGGAGAAAACAGAGTATTGAACAGGCGGACATGGGGGGGGGGGTACGCTAGAGTGCTCACACTAGCCTCACAGTCCTCCCTGTCACAGGCGGCTTAAAGTCTAGCACCCCCTAGTGGTCAAATGGTGCCATTAAAAAGATTTTATTTTAAAGGTTAAACGCATGCGTGCGTATGTATGCGTGTCAATGGGTGGGTATGTACATGCATGTGTAGATGTGCCCATGGAGGCCAGAAGATAGCATCAGATCTTCCTGGAGCTGGAGTTATCAGCAGTTATGAGCCACTCAGTGTGGTGTTAGGAAACACATTCCGGTCCGAAGAGCAGCAGGTGCTCTTTAACTGCTGAGCCATCTGTCTAGCCTGGATCTGTTTTAAAGTCTGAGATGATACGATCATCATTTCATCTCTTGTATTAGAGATTTCCACTTTCAGTTAGCTATGGCAATTAATGGAACAGCCAGGTATACGGCAATCGAACTATTGATACTCCTTAGCAGTGGAGGAGGATTACAGGACCCTTGTCCTGGGTGCTAGCCCAGCTCTTCCTTCCTCTCCTCCCTCAGCTGCAACTAATTTAGGAGGGTGCCGCAGACTATATGTGGAAATAAATGGTTAACTGAAAACAACTCCATGACAGTTTCCCATGAGGCTGTTGTCTGCACGAGGGAGACTTTATTAGGATGCTGTTGCTTTGGGTTATCCATGTTTCTCTAAGCAAACCCAATAAACTTGCTCCTTCACCAAAATAGTTTTGGGAGAATGATAACTCTAGGCTTTTGCTGACTTCCTATGTGGGGCGGGTAGAGGTTTGCTTGTGTCGTTCTAGGAAAACATTACAGAGCAAGCTACTACGAGAAATAAACAGGGACCTCTAGAAGGAAGACATGGTACAGGAGCCCCATGCTGGCGTATTGTTACAACATGGGCCTGTCCCTTTAAGACATTCTTGGGGACTCCAGACCTCACAGGTCTAAAGAGATCTGCTCATATCTCTAGAAAAGTCATAGCCTGTGCTGTGACTCGCGCCAGCTCTCGACTTATGGTCCCCGACTCCTCCAGGCTTTGTGCCATGTGTCTGTGGCGAGTGCAGTCAGCTGTCTGTAGAAACAGACGCAAAGAGGGCCATCAGCCGAAGCGGAGTGAGTGAGCACTGTGCCCTGCACTTCTCACTCGCGCGCGCATTTGCCTTTAGGCGGCAGAGAGTGATGCGTGTTTACAGGTAACAGTAAGACAAGAAGGATTATTGAACAGACTGCATGCAAATGGTGAATGGATGACGTAGGCATGTGGACTTGGAAACAGTCAAATGCCAGCTGGGAGAAGGAAAAGGCTGGAGCCTGGCACTAGCCTCCCAGAAAAAGATTCCACACAGAGCAACCCACCTTGTTGGAGAGACCGAGGCAAGGCCAGGAGTCAGTGGTGGGCAGGGATTATGCCTTGATCAGAACCATTTAGATATGCATGACCTGCACCTTTACCTCACTGCGGGATCCAAAGATGGGCTATGCGGACGGGCATCAATAGAGACCTACTGATTTTTGTCCCTTTTTTCAATGTGGCAACCCTGCACGAATCTTTTTGCCTGCATTTTACTATTATTTTGGTTCTTCTGATTGGCTTACCGGTGGAAGCTACTTTGATGCTGCTACCTCCTGAGTGCTGGGTTTGTGGGTGTGCACCACATCCCCAGTCTGAGCAGTGCTGGGGATCGAACCTTGGGCTTCATCCATGCTAGGCAAGCAGTCTCCCGAGATCTGCCTACCAACTGAGCTATATCCCCCCCAGCATCGGACTCTTTTAAAGGGCTTATCCAGCAGCTAATGAGGACCTAGACTTGTCAGGTCCTGTTAGTAAGTGAAAGACCAAGGGTCAGAACTGACCACCCATACATGAGCCCAAATGGTGAGACCCTTTAAGAGCTATCTGGTACCTTAAATATTTCTGAACGCCATGTCTAACCCGATAACATACAAAATTACTAACTTAGGATGAAAATCATCCGATACTCACTGCAGGAGAGCAATGGGGCACAGCTCAGCATTCTTATCCACTAAGAAGATGTCTCTGACATCCACCCGGAGTATCTTCAAGCTCTGACAGTGCTGGAGGCAGTAGGAAGACACCATTAAGTCCATCTTCTGGTTAACCTGGAGCCACACTTCTTGGAAGCTGTTCAGAGCCCAGCAGACAAATTCCTTGTCCTGAGACTCAAAGAGATAGTAGAAGGCATCCAGAACATCCTCTGGGCCGGTGGCGCTGACCTGCTGACCCATTTCAAAGACCCAATGTTGGAGCCTCTGCTTCACAGCAGGGGACACAGGACATCCAAGCAGAGCCTCCAGGGTCCTCATCGTGTCCTTGTTCATGAGGCCAAACAGGAAACGCTTCATCCCAAGGAGGTGAGTGTTGAAGTTGGTTCGCTTCAGCGTCATGATGCTCCTCTTTGGGTTTTCGACGAACAGACACTGCTGATTCCACTTCTTCAGCCCCTTTAAGAGGTAGTATAAGGCGGCACAGAAATCCTGCAGGCTGAGGTGGAAGAAGATGTAATACCGCTCGGTGCTGTCGTCAACCCGGAGAAGGACGTTCATGCGAAAGAGGGCCGAGATGGCAGCCTCCTCCAGGCCGTAGTTCTGCAGGTCATCATCGTAGAACACCGACCTCATGTTCCACACCCCCTCCGCCGCCATACTGCACAGACCCATCAGGGCAACTTGCTCTCTGTGACTGAGGCAACTCTGAAAAGGCTCTCGTGGGGTGAGCTGGTGGAACACCAAGGTGGCATACAAACTGGTAAGAGTCCAGCAGACTGGGGCGCATCTCTCTCCCAGCTTCTCCTGTAGCTTCAGAGCCTCACAGACCAGTGAGCATATGGAGGGGACCTGACACTGGTCAAATATCCGGTCGTTCTCTATCACAGTACGGACCACGTGCTTTCTTCGCTGGTCATTGGAGATGTCCTCGAGGAGTAGCTGAGTCCTCCTCGTCGCCGACAGTCCTCCGACCAATATGTAGAGGGGACACACCGCCAATGACTTGAGCTTTTCTAGGTCCGTGTCTCTGGTGGTGATTATGAGACAGGACTGGGGTAGGAGGACCTTCATCAGGAGGCTGTACATCAGGATGTATATGGGCTGCTCGTCCTCCCAGTCTCCAGAGGGCCTCATGTCATCCTGCAGGAGGGCCAAGTCCAGGTCGTCAAAACCATCCAGGACAAACAAGAGTCTTTCAGGTTTGGACACGATCTTTGCCACGGAAGCCTGCAAGTATGGCCACTCCTCGGAAATCAACTCTGCCAAACTGCTCTTCTCTGTCCATTTTATTTCTCTAACAGAGAAGAAGAAGGCATAGGACATGTCTTGGTAGAGTTTACCCTGTGCCCAGCCCAGAATGATACTTCTGGCCAAAGATGACTTTCCAACGCCTGGTTTTCCATGTAGGATGACCGTATGAGGCCAGAAGGCTTTCTGGTACGACTTGAAAGCCTTGAGCAGCACCTGCATCTCCGGGCTGTCATAGTGTACTTCCTCATGTGTGTCAAACTTGGCTATCACATGGGCCTTATAGCTATGCAGGCCGTCTAGATGGTATGAGGTCAGGGAAGAGAGCAGAAGAAAAACAAAATTTGAAAAAAAAAACTTATTTGTAGTTGAAACTGGACATGTATCTCTTCAAGATAAGTCTAATTATCAATGGCCTACCAACATCTCAAAAATAGAGGAGAGGAACCTGAAGGGACTTACAGTAAAAATAAAATCTCTAATTTTGGTCAGGGTAGGTAATTACTCTCAGCTGTGTTTAGAACACATCAAATAAGCTTGTGCTTGTATCCAGATTGCTGGAATTATGGGTTATTTTGAACGTCTCATAAATTACCACCCAACATAAATTGCCGTGAGCCACATGGCTCTGTCCGTGATGTTCACCCCCAGGACTCTCAAGGAAGGTTCAGGTGAACACACCAGTGACACCAGGACCCCACCTCCTCTCTGAATGCCCTTATCATTGGCCACAGACATTTTCTTCACCTTGTTCACTTTTGTCTGCCTCTGAATCTTGTTCCTCAGCTTGAAAGAACTCTGTAAAAGGGACAGAACAAAATTGATGCAGAATTCCCCTCTGTATGCCGTGGTAATAAAGAACTGCTTTGAGCAGAGTAGGGCAGAACAGAGCTAGGCAGGGAAAACTAAACTGAATGCTGGGAAAAAGAAGGTGGAGTCAGTGAGAAACCATGTAGCCCCGCTGGAGACAGACGCTGGAACTTTACCCAATAAGCCACAGCCTCGTGGTGATACACAGATTATTGGAGATGGGTTAACTTAAGATACGTGTTATTCCAGAAATACGCTTATGATGTGGGAGTCCCTCTGTGTGTTGCTTGTATTTAACCAATGAATAAAGAAAACTGCTTTGGCCTGATAGGAAGAACTTAGGTAGGCGGAGAAGACAGAACTGAATTCTGGGAGGAAGAAAGCAGAGTCAGAGGGACACCATGGAGCCACCAGAATCAGACAAGCTGAATCTTCCTGGTAAGCCACTGCCACGTGGCGGTACACAGATTAATAGAAATGGGCTAAATCAAGGTGTTTAAGAATTAGCCAATAAGATGTTAGAGCTAATAGGCCAAGCAGTCATTTAACAAATACTATTTCTGTGTGATTATTTCGGGGCTAAGCTAGCTGGGCAGCAGGGACAAACAAGCAGCCCCTCCTTGCAAGGCACTTAAGCTATTGGTCAAACAGTATTGCAAATAATATGGTTTCTGTGTGATTATTTCAGGGCTGAGCAGCTGGGAACAAACAAGTGGCCTCCTACAACACAAAATCATCTAGCACGATTATGTCTGTTGTTCTAAACAGAGATGCCATCTGTGTCGACTACCCAAACCCCAGGCTCAGGGTGCACAGGGGAAGAGGGGGCAGAAAGAACGTAAGAGCTGGAGGATGGGGAGGAGAGCTGCGAAATGCTGTGCTCTGCACACGCTACTGCTGCTGCACACATGAGGTCGTGCAGCTGTGGTCACCTGCATGGTGACAATCCCGCCACAGATTGGGCGGGGGCTCTGGAGACTCTGCTGCTGGCTGTGGAAGTCTCGGCATTTGGAGTCACTTTTGTTTGGTGGTGTGTCCTCTGGTTGGTTGTTCATGTTCTATGTGTATGTGTGCACGCGTGTGGGTAGGGTTCACGTGCACATTCGAGGGCATATATGTGGACCTGACGCTGACTTTTGGTGTCCTTTGCAATCACCCTCATTCTAAATTTCTAAAGATGTATTTATTTTTACTTTATGACTATTTGGCCTTGTGCATGCTATGCCCGCTGAGGCCAGAAGGCAGCAGATACCCTAGAACTGGAGTTTCAGATGGCTGTGAGCTGGCACAGGGGTGCTGAACACTGAACCTGTTCCTCCGGAAGAGTGGCCAGTGCTCAGAACTGCTGAGCCATCTCTCTGGAACCCAATCTACTTTTTGAGAGTGTCTTACTAAACCTCGATCTCACCAATATATCTAGACTGGCCAGCCAGCACCATAGATCCTCCTGTGTCTGCCTCCTCCGTGCTGGTATTACAGGCACATACCGCTCCCACGTGGCCCTTTAATATGGGTTCTGGGACTTGAACTCGGGTCCCTGTGCAGCAAACATTTTTCGGACTGAACAATTTAAGCCTCAGGACTCAACCTTATTAATAGAGCTAGTTATATACCCAAACACAGCTCATGCAGCTTAACGCAATCTATATCAAGAGTCCAGCTGACCTCAAGAAACTGTCAACGTGATTTTAAAGTTTCTGATAGAATTAGTGGGACTGAGAATGGCCTCCAAATTTTGCAGATAAAATGGAGAGTGTCATAGATCCGGAAAGAAACAGCATTTAAGTCAGTGGGGGTAGTGGTATAAGGACAGGCTCAAAGGCCAGTCAGCTAGAACTGAGAAACCCCAGATCACCCTCCCGCACCTGTCTCGACACTTTAGTAGAATTGTGTGTGTATGTGTGGTATGTGGAAAGTACAGGCTGAGTGTGGATGACGATGCCAGAGGTCAACCTTAGTCTTCATTCCTCATGAAACAATCCCCTTTAAAAAGATGTTTAATTTTAATTACATGTCTGTGTGGGTATGTGTGAGCACTTGTGCCCACAGAAGACAGACGTGTTGGTCTCTTGGAGCTGGAGTTACCAGTGGTTATGAGCCACCTGATGAGGGGGCTGGGAGCCAGACTCCAATCCTGGATGTACACACATAAGAACTCAGGGGGTCTAGCTGGGCTGCGGTGGCACACACTTTTAGTCCCAGCACTCAGGAGGGCAGAGGCAGGCAAATCTCTATGAGTTTAACATAACCTGATCTACAGAGCAAGTTCCAGGACAGCCAGGGCTACACAGAAAAACCTTTCTCAAAAAACAAATAACAATGACAAAAAGAGAATTCAGGGCTCTAACTATATACCACGTGGCTTTAAGTGTATCCATGTTTACACCCAACCCTGCCTGCAAACCTGGTGGCCGTTCATCATCTGATTCTTTGTCATTCTGAACTGGTCCACTGCCGCCTTCTGGGTCACGCACTGAGCTTTCTGCAACAGAGAGGAAGAGAGAATGCTGTTGTGAGTCACAGTCTGATTGCCCCAGCTGGGGACGAGAACACTTCATACCCAAAGTACAGAGGGGAATGAGAGCAAGCCTCGGCTCAGGTTATGCCCGGAGTAGTCTGGCATAGGACACAGTCGGGCCCTTCTGCCTCAGGCGCACAGAAAAGCAGCTGAGACAGGCAAGGATGCTCCAATCTGCACTTTACACATGCATTCTATACAAGCTCTGCTGCGTGGCTTTGGGTGGGTGACCCATGAGGTGCTGGGTCATAGGCATTTTTAAATGTTCATTAGTCGTCCTCAGTGCCTTCAAATTTCAGTCCTACATAGCGAGCAACTACCTTGATACGTGTAAGGTATCTGATTAGAGGCTTCAACTGTGTGTGCCCGTGTGTGGGTGCGCATGCACATCAAGCGTGGGTGTCTTTACTCTGTAGGCACCTGCCCAGTTTTTGAAAAAAAATTATGAATTTCGTTTTACGTCTGTGCGCATGCAGTTGCCCCTGGAGGCCAGAAGAGGACATAGGATTCGTGGAACTGGAGTTACAGGCAGCTGTGAGCCACCTGCTGTGGGTGTTTCGAGTGAAACCCTGGTCCTCTGCAAGAGCAGCAGGTGCTCTTAACCACAGAGTCATTTATCCGACCTCTGACGCATTGGTTTGAATGAGAATGGTCCCATAGGCTCATATATTTGAATGTTTGGTTCTGCAGTTTGAGAAGGACTAAGAGGTGTGGGCTTGTTGGAGGAGCTTTCAAAAGCCCACACCAGGTCCAGGTCCAGGCCTAGGCCCACCCTCCCTTCTGTGCGTCTATGGATCAGAGAGCTCTCAGCTACTGCTCCAGTTCATGCTTGCCTGCCATGATGATCACAGACTAACTCTGATGCTGTAAGCAAGCCCCCATTTAACGGCTTTTATAGTTTGCCTTGGTCATAGTGTCTCTTTATGGCAATAGAAAACAAGACATCCACTCACCTATTTTTTTTCCCTTGACAGGTTTTCTACTAAATCTGGAGTTCACCTAAGCCAAGAAAGACTTTGAAATCCAGCCTCTGCCTCCTAAGTGCTAAGATTGTAGGTGTATTCCATCATGTCCTACTTATTTAGTGCTGGGGACTGAATCCAGCTGGGGCTTTGTGCATGCTACCAATGAGCTACATTTTAACTTAATAATCATTTTCATCCATTCAACATATTGTCCAAAAAATATAATGCATGATCAGAAACTTACATTTTCTCTCTTTATATGAAGATGCAGTGTATGTGTGAGTGGGTATGGCTGATGTGGGATTCCCCTCTGTATGCTGTGATCACCACTGATTGATAAAGAAACTGCTTTGGACCTATATAGAGCAAAGCAGAACTTAGCTAGGTGGGGAAAAAATTGAATGCTGGGAGAAAGAAGGTGGAGTCAGTAAGAAGCCATGTAGTCCCTCCAGAGACAGACGCCAGAACTTTACCCGGTAAGCCACAGCATCATGGTGATACAGATTAATGGAGATGGGTTAGTTTAAGATATGAGTTAGCCAAAAATATGCTTAAGCTATTGGCCAAACAGTATTACAAATAATATGGTTTCTGTGTTTTTATTTTGGGGCTGAGCAGCCAGGAACAAACAAGCAGCATCCTCCTAAAACATATGGCTGTATATACAAATATGTATATTCAAATTATTTATTCATATATATGTATTTAACAATTTATTTAATTTTTATTTTATGTACATGAAGGTCTCGGATTCCCTGGAACTGGAGTTAGACAGCTGTGAACTGCCACGTGGGTGCTGGGAATTGAACCCAGGTTCTCTGGAAGTGCTCTTAGCCACTCAACCATCTCTCTGTCCCTGAATATTCTAATATATAAATTAAAAATAGTGCCTCATCATTACTATACTAGCAGGCATTCATGAATGACCC